TCGAAAACATCAATAAACTTTTTGATAACTATTCGCAAAAAAATATAAACAAAGTTGTTTGACTAAATAAAAGAATGCAGTGTATTAAAAAGAAACCAAATCGCTACTCTTGCTAACTTTTTCATTTTTTCACTATCCGACAGGTGTAAGTTTCAAAAATATGGCAAAGCACAATATGCGACAAACAATTAGGATGAGCATAAACATTGTTTAATCTTAGATTCTAATTCAGATTTTTTTGATATTATGGACAGATTCTTTTCAAACTGATTGCTTTGGAACTATTTCGTTGATGCACATTCAAAACATATTCAAGCAAGTTATGAAAAAATCCTAAAGAAAACACTGCTCGGTTTCATGTTTATTTAATTAGTCCAGATAACTAAAATCATAAAACAACCTTAAAATCCCGGCATCAATCCTTATTTCTATGAATAAATATTGAGAGAATTAAGTACCTGAGAAAGTTGCATTTAAAATAAACACCCATAATATACTGCCAAACTTGAAACTGAGTTTTGATTTGTATGCTATTAAACATCAAATATCACGCTTGTTTTAAATGAAGGATTATTTACTAATCAGTTTAAGCTATCATACTATTCAACTTTTTTGGTTTTATTACCTTTATTAATATGACTTTCGTAATGAAATGAACGGAATATTTGTGCTCTGGGTAGTTTTTTTTCAGACAAACATCGATTTTTTAACTAGCCATTTTGACGGATTTTTTTCTATATCATTCAAAAAGTATTGTTATCCTAAGCTTAAAATTGAAAAGTTATTGTTCCGACTTTCGATACGAAAGTAACGGAATATTTGTGCTCGGGGTGGGTTTTTTTTTTCTTCAGACAAATTTCGACTTTTTAACTAGCCATTTTTGACGGAATTTTTTATATCATTCGAAAGGTATTGTTGTCTTGAGCTCAAATTTGAAAAGATATTTCACCTGTTATCAGTTTGTGTAAAAATACGGGGGCTTAAAGATTGGCGTTTTGGCCAAATTGGGACAATTAACGCGCGATATATTTCGCGCTATTAACGCGTAAGCGGAGAGTTAATCCGTCTTAGAAATCGTTCCAAGTTGGTTAAAAGAAGCTTATTTGCCATAACTGGTTTGTTTCAAGGAACGAAATCTATCCTTTTGTACTTTAAATGGCGTGTGGGGGGATGATTTTCATTTAAAAAATTTAAAATTTCAGAAATTTTTTTTTTTTCATTTTGTTTTATTTCATTGAATTTTTTAATGTTGTTACTGCTTCATAAACCTTAAAAGGCAGTCGGAACATTCAGGGATTCGCTCTGATACGAGCAGTCTTGTTTCACTTGTGATCATTTTTTCTGAAGTTATGGGGGTTTAAAGATTGCCATTTTAGCCAATTTGCGACAAATAACGCGCGATATATTTTGTCGTGATATTTCAAATGTGTCTGTAAACATTTCTCTTCAACTAAATTTTTGTGACAAAATTATAAATTAGAAGATTCCAAACAAAGTCTTAAAGTTGTTGCGACCATGCGATGAGCGTTTTTATTTCGTATCCGGGTGTTTTTTTTTGCGCATCATGAATTTTATCGGCGAAATGTTTAGGTGGATAGTGTCATTTTACTTGAGAGATCATTTTACTTGTAGGTCGAAATGAGTGAATTATATTAATCTTACTGGCCGCTGTAGGTGCCACCCAAGACCGAGTTGGTTATGTTTAATTCAAACTTTTATAGTCACAATCAATTCTGCCTGGCACCGAAAACATACAAAGATGATCTCAACCCTGTAAATTTTTTTTTTCGTTTTGTTTTATTTCATTGAATTTTTTAATGTTGTTACTGCTTCATAAACCTTAAAAGGCAGTCGGAACATTCAGGGCTTCGCCCTGATACGAGCAGTCTTGTTTCACTTGTGATCATTTTTTTCTGAAGTTATGGGGGTTTAAAGATTGCCATTTTAGCCAATTTGCGACAAATAACGCGCGATATATTTTGCGCTATTAACGCGTTAGCGGAGATTTAATCCGTCTTAATAATCGTTCCAAATTATTTGAAGGAAGCTTTTTTGCCATAATTGATTTTTTACTACTACCGCATTTTATCACGTTGTACTTTATATGGCGTGTGGGGGATGACTTTCACAAAAATTCACAAATTAAAAAAAATTCGTTTGATTTCATTATTTTTAATTTTTTCATGTTTTTACTGCTCCATAGAAGTTAAAAGGCAGTCGGAGCATTCAGTGCTTCGCCCTAATACAAGCAGTTTTGTATTAGTTTGGGGGCAGGGTAGATTTAGATTGACGGTTGATCTCAAATCAGCACTACTTTTTGTTTTTCTACCAACATTCCACTAAATAAACCACAGTACAATTCTAATTGCCTCTTCTAAAAAATCACGCTCAAAATAACTCCAGCTTCAATTTTGTGCACGTTTTTCATGGGAACGAAACGAATTATTCTTTGCAAAAATTCTCAAAAGACTTAAAAATTGTCTATCTAATTAACAACGAGGAAAAACAACTTATTTTTGGATTCAAATTTCAAATGTGTCTGTAAAAATTTCTCTTCAACTAAATTTTTGTGACAAAAGGGTCCAAATTTTCACTAAATCATTTAGAATTGATTATAAATTAGAAGATTCCAAACAAAGTCCTAAAGTTGTTGCGACCATGCGATGAGCGTTTTTATTTCGTATCCGGGTGTTTGTTTTTGCGCATCATGAATTTTATCGGCGAAATGTTTAGGTGGATAGTGTCATTTTACTTGAGAGGTCATTTTACTTGTAGGTCGAAATGAGTGAATTATATTAATCTTACTGGCCGCTGTAGGTGCCACCCAAGATCCGAGTTGGTTATGTTTAATTCAAACTTTTATAGTCACAATCAATTCTGCCTGGCACCGAAAACATACAAAGATGATCTCAACCCTGGAACGCATTTAGACACTTAGGACCAATACCAACTGTGAATTTAACGTTTTATTGCGAAATAAACGTTTTCAACACCTGCAAATTTTCCATTTTTCATTATCCGTCAAAATAATTGGAAAATTATTTAGGGCGTTTCATAAAACTCTGAACTCTGAACTCTAACCACACAAAAAATCAAATTATCAAATTCAAACTTAGTACGAATGCAGACTATATTTTTGAGCTGCTGCTTCCAACAAATTATCTGTATAGACAGATTTGTCTTGAACTGATTGCAATGGGCTACTTTTTTGCACATTCAAGCCACATTCAAGCTTAGCAAATTATGGAAAAATCAATTTGGATTTTAGAACAACTTTTACTTCCGTATCTTCTCTGTTTCCATTTAATATTCCTGCGTTCATCTTTTTTCGTCGTTTTGTTTGTTTATATTATTGATTTACTGGATCAATTGAAAATACATCAAAGGATGCCAGGCTGGAAGAAAAAAATGACAAGACATTAGGACTACGTGACATTAACACGACACAAGAGAGTTTCAACATTACGAGGCAAAACTGTTCGATTTTAAGCAAATTCTTTTTTTTTTCCGAAAAACAAAGAAAATGAACTTTTTTCGTAGACTGAATTGTTCTATTTTAAATCAGTTCTTTTTTTCCGAAAAACAATTTTAGAATTCGTGGGTAGCTTCGTCTTTGAGTCTCACCACAAGCGGTTGCCGTCTTAACAGCTGTCGTCTTAACAGCTGTCGTCTTAACAGCTGTCGTCTTAACAGCTGTCGTCTTAACAGCTGTCGTCTTAACAGCTGTCGTCTTAACAGCTGTCGTCTAGTTTTTCGGACACCAGATTAATGGTCTGGACTCGAAACCAAAATGTGTATTTTGAACCAAGCTTTTACCGCAACTTATTAGTTTGATTTACGTATCAGTATTGACATATGAAGAATGCGAATACACTTTTTAAATTTTATGCATGGGTAATAAGAAAAACGATTGGCTTTGTCTGCTGCGACTTGGTTTTGCATTAGTTAAATGAAAACTTCTGTCTATCAAATTTAAAAATAACTTCCGTTAATTTGATAAGTTTCAGTTATGCTTAGGATAAATTTTTTTTAAACAGATTTTTTTGAAAAGCTATTTTTCGATCGTTTTATCAAACCAAAAAAAATCAAATAGTTGATCAAGTGACTTTAATTAAGCCTCGTCAGAGACAAAACTGATAAATGGTGCGAATGAATTGCTTCAAGACAAAACTGTTTCATACACAGCTCTTGAAAATTTTGTCGATTTTTTTTCAAAATCAATTAGTGTATTCAATTAACATTTGAAATAGAGTCTACTTTTTAATGAACATTTTTTTTCTTTTTGTATTTCAAATATACTAGAATTATCAAAGTTGCAAACGTAAACCATTTCCATAAAAAATTTAATGGTTCACAGTCAGGGGCGGATTTAAGGGGGGGGGGGACGCTTACCCTCAGGGATTCGACTCCCTGTCAACCCAAAGGGTCCCCCCTTTTGTACTTTTTAAAAAATCCACTTTTGGCCGACCACCATTGGCGCCAATATATACTAATTTTGAGGGGGAAGCGCGCGTCGAAAAAACGCAATTTTTTGGTCAAAATTTTCCTTTTTGGCCTGTTCTTTCAAAATTTTGCGTGCGGCGCAGAATATTTGGCCATAACAGGGACTAATTAGTGCTTAGGGAGAGCTCAATAAAACAATTCGGTCGACCTAAAAAAAATGGTCGACAAATTTTCGAAAAAATCTAGATTTGCCCCTGTTCACAGTCTTTTTTTTGTGATTATTGTTAGTGCCAAGAGATTACTGAGAAATTTTTTTACCGGTCTAAAGTATTAAATTTTTGTAGGTGGTAATAAGTTGAGAAATTTTACTATGTTAAGGCTGAATAAACTGCCTATTAATTATTCAGTTGTCCTTAATAGTTTCCTGAAATATAGAGTAACAGTCAATTAGGCAAAAGTATCATATTTTCTGCTAACTTTTAGCTTGTATGTTGCTCTTTCAACCAGTTTAGCAAGTTTTCTGACAATTTTATCTCTCCGTTTTGCTTGAATTGTAGATATTGATGAATGAATCATCGTCAGCTCCTGAACTTGAATACCAAACAGAGATCCTCATCTGCCAAATATCAGCAACTATTATCACTTTATTCGGCCTAGTCGGAAACACATTCGCATATCTCACAGCTGACAACTTCCCCCAGAAAACATCGGGTCAGAATTTCATCAAATGTCTGGCTGTTAGTGACGTCGTTGCTGGGTTCCAGGATGGAATCATGGAGGCGATGTTGGCAATGTTCGGCTTCAATTTCTTTGCACTGCATCCGATGTTGTGTCGATTTTTGGGATGGTTCACGTATTTTTCATCAAGTGCAGGTAAAAATAAGGAAATTTTTAAGGCATCTCATATGCACAATTTTCAAATAACTTTCAAAGGTTTTTAGCGGACATTTTTTTTTACCGCAACGAGTATCTATTTCTGGCTATTATTAGTTTTCAGAAAAAAAAACGTTACTTATCATCTGTGGTAAATTTTTGGTGATTTTTTGATTCTACCAAATAATATTTATGATAAAAAATTGGGCTTTTTATTGGTTATCCAACAAAAAACTCAACTTTCTAGAACAATAATAAGAATTTAATTCTATCTATAATTTTACTGATAAGAGGCGCCTGAAAACAAGCTGTGAATTTTACAATGAATGAAATCAATATTTTAAACAACTTATTATGATCAGGGCGGATCTAGGATTTTATCGAGGGGGGGAAGGGGCGGATTTTCAAAAAAAAATTCGAAAATTTTGTCGACCTTTTTTTCTAGGTCGACCAAATCGATTTTCCGAGCTCTGCTTAAGACCAAAAAGACCCTGTATGGCCAGATTTTCTGCGCCGCAGGCAAATTTTTTGAAAACACAGGCCAAAGAGACGTTTTTAGGCTTTTTAGGCGTTTTTCGGCGTGCGCTCCCCTCTCAAAATTAGTATATATTGGCGCCAAAGGCGCCTTTAGAAAAATTTTAGGGTACGTCACCAAAAATGGATATCTCAAAATAGTACAAAGGGGGACCCTTTGGGTCTGCAGGGGGTCGAATCCCTCAGGAGGAGGGCGTCCGCCCTCCCCCTTCCCCCCGTAAATCGGCCCCTGATTATGATAATTATTTATTGTAATCTAGTGATATATTTCAGCCGGATTCGTTCTTCTCGCCGCCGCAATTGACAGACTAATTGCAATATCAAAACCCATCTGGTACCAACAGAACTCCAAACCCCCCAGAGCCACCAGAACATCAGTCATAATCTGGGTTGTAGTGGGACTATGCATGCTGCCTAACTTCTTCGAGTACGATTTGAACGGGGTGTATTGTAATTTCGATCAGGGCAACCCGTGGTCTTTTCTTACCAAGTGGCAGTTTGGACTCTATTATGAGATCATCTTTTTTGGAGGCTTCATCATTCCACCGGTTGTGATGGTAAATAATTTTGCGATTTTTTTGTTAAAAATTTAAAAGTTTTTAGAACTTTTGCAACAATTCTGGCGTCCCGTTTTTTGCTTCCAGAAAAATGAATACCAAAACTTGAATGATGCGCATGCATCGCATTATCCTCATTAAAATTGTTTGCCGATTGTGAGGGGTTGGGGGAAAAAGGTCGATAAAAGAGTTAATTTGAAAAGAGCTTGAAAAGAGTTAATTTACTGTCCAACTGTAGTTCAACAACATCAATTCAAAACTGTAATTTAGAGGTCAAAACTACGACCAAAAGATCGCACTCCCGGATGATTGACAGGCAGGTACCTGTTCGCACTTAGCACACTAAGAGTAATAGAAAGCTTAAATTAACCTTTTGTAACCCCTGTCAAGGGATTTAAAAAAGATCCTTATTTGTTTCTTTGTTTTTAATTGTAGCCGGTTGTAAAATCTAAGACAAAGGTATTGAGAATTAATTTGCCAATATAAGTGACTGAAGTTGATGCTTTTGCAGGTGTTTGTGAATGTGGGCATCGTGTGGCAGTTGAGAGTGAAAGCATCTTCAGTGTCTAAGAGAGACAGGGAGGTGACTGTGTCTCTGATTGTGGTCTCCCTCTGTTTCTGTCTCTGTCTGGGGGGACTGGGCATCCTGGCCAGACTCAGTCTACATCTGGGCAAAACAAACCCAAGGGGGGCTAACTTGGTCAACTACATCAGGGTAGGAAATGAAAGAAACATACTCAAACATAAGCTGAAGAAGTTTTCACTTGTGGATAAAATAAACAAGGATAGCCGGTTACTGTGCAAGTAGCACAGAATGTTCCGACCAGTCTTAAAAAGTTACAAAATTATATTTTTTAAGTTAGTGTTGTTTTTTCGGCCTGGTGTGATAAAAAAAATTGAGCGGAAAAAGTAGAGTTTAGGCATTTTCGTCAGTGATTGTAAAATATGCAAATTGGAGAACAGTTTTTTAAGATAACTAACGAAAAAAAAGTAATTTCGTAAAAACTTTATCCAAAATGTTTTAAAGTTTTTGATCCCTAAAATGAAACTAAACAGCCAAAAACTAACTCAATTTGAGTGAAACTAAATTTTCAACGCATAAAATAAGGATAAATGAGTTAATTTAAGCCTGCTTGCTCAAAATTAGACAAAAAATCAAAATTCCAACCCAGTTTTTCTCGACACTAGGAAATTATGTGTGAAATTTTTGAATGTCGTTCGAATCCAGACTGAAAGTGCTTCAATATGATATATCACTCAACCATGTCCGATGATTATTTGTGGTAGCTGATTTTGCGTGGAAAACAAAAAATAAACTAAGACACACCCAAATACAAAGTTCCTCCCCATTTTCAATGATGGAACAATGAAGATCTATGTATGTAAATAGTTAAATAAAGTATTTGTTAGAGCTGGCAAGCTATTTCAGCAGTTTCTACAGAATGAAAAAAAAAACAAAGGATTTTTGTTAAAAGCGAACCCTAATAGTTTCCATTTTAAATACTTTTGACAAAGTAGACAAAAAACTGATGAACAAATTCCAAAAAAATTAACGATAGCCAATTGCTGACCAAATAGCACAGAAAGTTCTGCCAACGTTCAAATAAAGTGATAAGTTTTTTTTCTTCAATTTAGGTCGTTTTTTGTGCGTAGTCTGAAAAAAAACTACACAAATGGGTAGAAAATTAGGCCTAATCGACAACAGTCGTCTTCAAAAAATGATTAAAACACAAAAAAGTTTCAAGAAAAGATGCTATATGACGGGATTCAACTCAACGCATTCAGATGGTTATAATTTTTACCTCGTTTTGTGTGAAAACAAACTTCAGAATACAAAATCTACGTCAGTTTCAATGGTTAGATGAACAAAATAATCGAACAGCCAAATTCGAGAAAATTTCAATCATACTGGCATAATAGCACGCATCTTTCACAAATCTGTGATCATTCACGCAACCTAAATTAAAATTGGCTCGATTGGAAATTTTAAAAATAAACTTATGTTTGATCAGAAGGGTGTAGTCAAACAGACAAACTTTTCGCCTCATTTCTTGAGTCTCTGATAAAGAAAAAAATGTAAATTTTCGTTTGTTATTTTTTTGTGTGGAAAAACCGATCATCTTTAAATTAAAACTGAAATTAATATGATAGTGGGTGCATGCTCAGACTTGACACAATGATCTGAAACTTGAATTGTAGCGCAAGCTATAGTAAAGCATTCAATTGGTTGCAAATTCGTTCTGTGCCACAAATAGCAAGGTCAGCTCTGGAAACTAAGTCGTAGCTTAGTTAAACTAAAGCATTTATATATTATAACGGCTCATATTTCTTGCTCCCAAATTGAAAAAAGCATGCTCCAATGGATTAGAACTGAATTTGATTCTTTCCGTCTTGGGTTTTGAGCATCTAGACCAAAAACAGTTAATCATCTGGCAATCGTATTTTTTGAGACAATTCAGTTATCAAAGGTTAACCGCGGTTAACTGACGGCCATTTTTTTGCCTCAGGTCAATTAACCGAAAAAAGGGGTACTCGCCGATCAATTATCCGGTTAATCGGCGGTTAATCGTTAAAAACAAAAAAGTAGACACGAAGAATGTACTTTTCAGCGAATCAACGGGATATACATTCCTGTACAGTTTTTGTCCCAAAGTCTGTGGTTGACTTTCAGGAACAACTGCATTTCTAGGTTGGAAGGTAGTAGGCGGTGCCGAAGATCGCTAAGAATATACCCGGCAAGGCTGAAAAATCTTTCGACCAGGTTGGAAGTCGGTAACACAAACTTGCAGTTTCCATATTTCGGTGTGGCCATTGAATATAATTTCTTCTTTCGGATAATATTGGTTGCAAAGTCACGAATTTGGATACAGTTTCTTTCTTGTCTCCTGTAAGTAAATGCTCCTGGCCATTTTGGATTTTGGACAGGGCAATTTCGAAAGTAGGGTTGAAAACTATGTTTGCATCGCAGGCTAGGTAAGGACGAGCAAAATGGACAAGGTGAGGTTTTAGTTCAAAGTAGCAAAACAGTAGAGTATCCACCGACGTTGTTATCTGGATAACAAGCAAAAATGGCGAAGTAATGGGTGCCACCCTTCGTCCACCCATCCAGTAGAATGGAGAAATTACTGGTGAGAAGATCAGTAATTTTTTTTCTCCACTTTTTAGTAATTTTTGACATGTATTTCTTAAGAGTGTTAACACAAATTGGTTTCAAACGAGTGTACTCTCTGGCAGAACACTCCGTTACGAATGGGAAGGGTTTCAGTTCGTCAGTAACCCAGTCAACCCAAGCATAAGTATTTTCGGCCGGTGAAATGGTAAAATAGCCGGTAAACGAAATAATTTGGGACTGCGCTGAGTCGTTTTTATACTCCGGGTGGTGTGCCTTAACGTGATTAAACGTATTCGTCCATCCGGCCCTTTTTACCCGTGAAATACTTTTGTTACACTCCTTACAGCACCAAACACTAGTTCTTTCATTCTCTGAAATTTTGGAGAAACATTTAAAAGAAATAGATCTGGCGTCAGCCATCGAAGAAAGAGCGCAGCTATAGCCTATGCTGTAATGTAAACCTGTAAACGTTGTGTCCTGCCGTTTGTTTGCACCAGCCGTTTTTTTGCTACCTGCCGTTTGTTTGCTTTCCAGGCCTATTACTCAGGCAGTTAACCGGCGGTTAATTGGGACAGTCGCCGATTTTAACCGGAGGATGGTTTACACCCATCGGTCAATTAATCGACCCGATTAACCGCGAATAATCGAGTACCAGATTAACCTTTGATAATCCCTGGTAGTCAAAAAATTAGGCAACTGCAGACAGTTTTAAAAATTACAGGACTTTTTTATTTGACGCTAAAACTCTGGATTTTTTAACTTAAAGATTTTTTTCTAATTTGTCTGTTGGTTTCTTGGGTCAGTGATTTTTTTAATTGCAATTTGTTACGGAAGCCATTGAACTAAAACGTTTTCAAATATAGAGACTTGGCAGTAAACGTGTTCATATGAGACGATAAGCAAGCGATAATGTTTCAAATTTCGGTGATCCTTAAGACGAAAACAAATTAACCTAAACGTTTGTTTAGAAAAAAAACAATTTGATTTCATAAGAAAACTTTAAATTTCTTAAGTAATATGCGAAGTGCACGATTTTCAAATCTGCATAGCTGAGCAAAGAAAGCAAGCATGCACATAGAACGTTCATTGTCAGATATTTTTCAATAAAAGTGAATAACAAGGGATTGCTTAAAACTGTACTATTTTGTAAACACCAAAAAATGTTGTTGAAATGACGACTGTTTGAGTACAGTCTTTTTTCAAATTATCATCAACAAAGGGTTACGGCATAATTCATCGGAACCATTTAAAGGTTTTTTTGAACTTCAGAGAACACATTTTCAAACTCCTAGATGAAATATGTATTAACTATCAACGCTGGTCAACGGTATCCCTAAATATTTGTACTTACTTTGCTACACTAAATAATGGGCCACTAAATGATATTTTTACTACCGGATCGATGTGAATTTTGTAAGAATTTAATTAGAGAATCCGAGAAAAAGCACGTTGAAACTAGCTATTTTTTTTGTCTCGGAATTAGTTTTGGTAATCAGTTATGTATCTCATACCATCTGAATTATACTAATGTCTGTAGCTCAATTTCCATAAGACATTACACCTGTCGGTCGCCGTTTTTGTACAGTTTCAATTTTGTCATTTCCGGATAAATAACACGCAATCTTTTCGTGCAATTAAAAAATAAGCGAGGAATTTACTCGGTCCAAAATGAATTGAAGGCAAGGTTTTAATCCTTATATTGCATTACCAGACTCAAAACATATCAGTTTGTTTTGCAAAGCGTGAGGGGTGATCGACTAGAAACATATGAAAATAAAATCAACTTTTTGCAAATTTTTTCAAATTAATTTTTACAGAAAAAATGTTTTAATCGAAATTGAACGGCAGTCGTAATTTTGGTTTTTGCCGTGATACGAACAGTTTTGTTGTTCCAAATTTTGAAGAAAGTGAGAGAATATTTATTGGAGGGTTTTTGTTACTCATTCAGTTTTCGACTTTTTAACTAAACGTTTTTTGTTTACATAAATCTGAAAAAAAAAATTTCCTTGAGCTCGAAAGTAAACAAAATACTTTAAAAAAAAGAAAATTGCTACTTTGGTCAATTTAGGGCAATTTACGCAAGACGTATTGCTTTCTTATAGCAAGAGCAAGAGCATAATTACTCTATATAATAACTATATAGAGTTTGAGGGGATAGATTGAGAAAAAATTTTAAAAAAGTTTTTTTTTCTTCCTGTTTCTCAACCAAAATTTTTCTAAAGTGTCTCAGACTGCAGTCGGACCATCCAAGTCTTCGCGTTGGTATACCAAAAGTATGCTTACTTTGTTTTTTGTTGATAGCCTTGTCTGTAAGGATCAGAGCAGATAGCGCGGTGAATAAGAGCAGACTTTCATCCTGAAGGACACCGTCATCGAACTCAAAACGAACGGGGTTGACCACCCTACAAAAAATCCCCTCTCTTAGAATTAATGAAAGATGAAATATTTGAAGCGAAACTCCGTTATTTTACATTTTTTTAAATAAAAACTTTTAAGATAGCAAATTTATAAGCAACTCAATAATCGGCAACCAGGGTTGACTTCCATGAACCGAGAATACTGGTCTTACAATTCCATACACCGAAAACGTTTACCATACAATTCCATAGATCAAATGTCTTCATGGAAATGCATGTCATACAATTTTCATACATTTTCGAAAAACAATGGAAAAAAAATAAACCATTTCTGCGGCTTTTTGAGAACAGTTGAACAGACTGGTGACAAAAAACTGATTTAAAATATTTTTTTTTGAAAAAAATGCATTCCATACAATTTCCATATATGGATCCCTAGCATTTTTTTTGATGATGACAACAACAAATTTTTTTCCAAGTAAAATTGAAATTGCCCCCAATTTTTTTTCTTTATTTTTTTAATTGCAAATCGAATTTTATACTCAAACAAACATTTTCCAAAAAAAAATTTTGCATGCAAATTTTACTTTTTTGTCTGCATAACGTAGTCCTGGATATACAAAAGTTGCATTTTTTCCGTCTCTCTGAATAACTTTTTTCAAACAGGCTAAAAACTCCTATTTCTTTTCTATGGAATGTTTATATATGCCTTTAAAAGTTTGATGCTTTCAGCATATCATTTGTGAAAAGAATTCTTACACAATTCAGGTCGTTACCAATGCATTGTAAATGCCGGACGATCAATCTTTTGAGGACTGTAGATTTGAGAAATATTGGTTAATGAAAAAATGCTTGTTCTACAATTTCCATTTATGAAAAAATGCTTATCTTTGAATTGTTGTAATATTTTCTGTATCTATGGAGTTGTACGAAACTTTATGATAAGCATGTTTTCGTAGATGAAAGTTGTATGATAAGCATTTTTGGTCAACCCGGAAAATCAATTCTAATGTGGTTTTTTATCGTAAATAATGATTAAAAGTTTTGAATAGTTTGTTCTGTTTTCATTATGCGTGTAAAAGTTTCAGATTATGTTTATAATGTATGCATTTTGAACAAAAATTCCGAAACAAATTTTAACACTTTCTTAGATATACACTTTTCGCGGTTCGAAATTGTTTTGGAGACTAAAAAAATCAACTTTGTTGAATTATATTATATAGTTTGTATGTGGGATTCAGCTACATATTGACAAAGTTTCTAAAAATCAAAAAAAAGCTCATCATTAAGTTCTTGTGACGAATAGTTAAATTCTGTTAATCATATTCAGTTATTGTAATCTGCGACAGTGGTGAATTATTGTACTGGCTAAGATCAAAAAGTACAAAATTGCAGTTTGAAATAATTTTGAAATAATTTAAGGATTATAATTAAATGTTACAAACCCTATTTTGTAAAATTTTTAGAGCCTAATTTTGCAAGAAGTTGCAAGATTCTTATAAGAAACCTTCTAAGATTTGGCCAACTTTCGTTCCATTATTGGAAAAATGTTTCAATATACTTATTACTTTAAAAATATTTCATTTCAAGATTTTTATCTTGAGGAACATATATTTTCAAAGACTGACGGCGCAGAGGGAATCTTTTTGTCTAGCTTTGAACCCAACAAAGGAGCTTCGAGTCACGTATTATCTGTACAGCTATGAAAAACTGGAGATCTTAGAGCACATAAAGTTTTGGTCGCTTAAGTTAGCTGAAGGTGTTTACCAGATTTCAAATCAGAAGCTAATGTTTGTTGGTTGTGACTAATGTGCTGATGTGTAGCTGAAGTAATTGTTTCCGGATCAAAAGGAAGATCAAAGCTTCCAATAATTGTCGTTAATTGTAGAAAGAAACACTTAATTAGCAGTTGGAGCGCACTTGCCATATTTCATTTGATTTGCGCTTTTTTAAATAAATATTCGAGCTAATAAATTGTTCCGACCGATCTCGAAAAATTGCGAATGGATGACGCATCTTGCTAAAGGTGCCTTGATTACTGTACAAAAACTATATATAATAAGCAATGCTCTATTATCGGAAGTTACTGTGCTGCCCTTGTTATATGTCAATATTAACTTTTGGCTCACACACTTTTCATGACTCATAAAAAATTTTTCAGAAATTACCAGCGGTGATGAACAACTCGATGAACTTCTACGCGTACTTTGCGGCCAGTCGATTCTTCAGGGAGACTTTCTTCGGGTTAATTGGGAGACAAAACTATCGGGCTAGAAGAAGATCATCCCAGTCTGTGCCCAAAGGCAACTATGTCAAGTCACGTGTCTCTCATGCACTGATGGAATCCAGGCAATGATGACGCCTGTGTCAAAGTGCTTGACTTATGCTCAGAGCTTCGAACAAAAAGCAGACGATAGTGATATGAAGCAGTTTTCCTTTAGAAATTACCAACTCACCCGATGTAGAATTTAATCATTCCCCTAATAGTTTTTCTACTTTTGAACTCAACTAGATTCGAGTTATTAATTTCTTAAAACATTCCCATTTTGAAGAAAATGAAAATATTACCGAAAAATAATTTTTGCCCCGCATAGTTTTGGTTATTGTTCCTACTTTCGAAGAAAATTGATTATTTATGCTTGGGGTTTGGAATGTTTTGCATATAGAGTAGGTTATGCTGGAGTGCTATATAATAAGATTCAGCAAAAAAAGTTTATTCTTTCACAAAATTTGATCCCTCTGATAGAGCAACTTCGAGCATCAACACACACTAATTTCTTAAATTTGGAATTCTTATCATGACTAAAAAGCAGAAAAAACGGCTGAAGATTGATCGTATATCAGGGCGAAGCCCTGAATGTTCCGACTAACCCTTTTATGGTCTCGAATAATTATTTCGACTTAGGAAGAAAATGGATTATTTATGCTTGGGTTGGTTTTTTGTTCAGTCAATTTTCGGCGATGAAAAAAAAATAGCTTTTAACAAAACCATTTTTTTCTAATTGAAGATATTGACTCCCTCAAATTAAATGTAAAAAGATATTTTATCTCTGATTTTTTTGCAAAGTTTTAGGAGTTTGAAATTGGCCAGTTTGGCCATGACTTGGACTAACTTATGCGTACTCATAATGCTGAAAGCGTAACGCAAACTATTAATGCGTGGCGATTTATACCGTTCCAAACTGATTTATACGATTCCAGAAAATCGTCCCAAACTGAATTGAGGCTAGCTAATCGGTCGTTTTAGTTTCGTACGACGCAAATTTTCACACTTGATCTTTGATATTGTCCAAGATTTATAGTTTTAAGAAATTTCTTTTCCCGGAATTGTTCTCGAAAAATTTTACATAACAAATAAAAATTACTAAAAACTATTAAATGTTTTAAACGAAATCTTTTATACAACTTTGGACGTCTTCTGAAAAAAAATGTCTTCAGTTAAAACAATTTGAAATTGGAAATGGATTCTTGAACAAAAGGTTAGATTCGAACCTACCCTTGCAATTTGTTCACTCCGAAAAGTTGAATTAATTAGAATTGGTTTGACTGACACTAAAAGTTTGCAGGGAAAAAACGACGTGAAAACCCAAATCAACGACAAGTTTGCAAAAAATGGCAAAAAAGCACTTGTAAAAAAGCACAGTACGCCGCACTGTCACTTCTTTTGATAATCTGAAAAAAGCGTTGAAAACAAGAGTTTTGGAAATGCATTTAGTGGAAAACTGAAAGCAAATTATAGTTTGCACAAGTTAAAGTAAAATAGTAGGCCCAAATATAATTCTTATTCTTTCAATTTGTTAATTTTTTTCATTTAGTTTTGTATGAAGAAACCAAAAGTCTCAAATTTTTTTCATCTGTGTTTCCCACTCAACTGTAAATTTTGTCGGTCCACTTCTAGTTTCATTGAAAGGTTTGATTGCAATTGCTAACAATTTGGCCTAATTAGCAAAATCCTACTGTATTGGTTACTATGTCAGAATTCAAAACTTCTCTCATTTATCATTCTGACATAGTGATGAATGTACTAGTGTTTTCTTAACTAGGCCGAGATAGTTGCAATTAAAACAAGCTAAACCACAATTAAACTAGAAGTGGACTAGAAACACAGCTGAGAAGAGAAACACAGCTTAGAAGTATTTTTTTCTCAAAATAAAAAAAGTAAAAGAAAAAATGAATAGACTGATAGAAGGAGGATTTTATCTTAAGCCTAATATTTTTCTTTACTTTGTGTAAACTGCAAACTTCTGTCGATTTTTTTTTGAAAAAAATATGATGTAAAATTTTAACTGAAGAGTTTGGCTCAGAAATGTTTTTCTTTGATTTTTTGGCTACTTGGCAAAAAGCAGACATACAAAAGAGTTGAAACTTAAATGATATAAAGTAGAAAAAATAGTATCTTAATCAATCACAATTGAGATAAGAAAACAGAAACGTCATAAAGTAGAAAAAAAGTGTTTTAACCAATCACAATTGAGATAAGAAAACAAACGTACGATAAGTATTTTTGAGAACGTTTTTTTGGTACAAGTACGATAGTTGGGTAAAGATGGGTCCCCGAAGAAAATGATTGCTTGTGTTTCTTAAATTCTTACAGAAGTTGCGGGACATCTTTCAACTTTGGTTTTCCTGACGCCCAACTGTGATACCTGAACCGTTCGTTTTTCTGATCTTTTTGTTTCGCTGCAGCAGTTTATGATTTTCTTACAGCACTACAAAAAAGCCTATTGGTATATTTAAAAATACGTTTTTGATTTTTTTCTCGAGTTGATATTTAACGAAAGACAGATGAGGCAACTACAGAAATTGAGAGCAATGAAAACCGCCAAATGGAATAGATCCCAGAATGGCAATTTTCTAAAGTAAACTAAACAAAGCTGCTCGTATATCAAAACCAATTCCCAAATTTTCAGCTGGGATTGTTTTTTTTCCCGCGCATAATTAATTTGCTTTGCGCTTTGAGCATCATGTAAAAAATTTTCAGTGCGCGCACAAGTTCTACAAATCATGGCCCAGCTTACAGTTTTATTTCAATTTCCAAAAACTATGCTGAAACCTTGTAGAAAACTTTTTTTCAGATTTTCATTGAAGGTGTTACTGCAGTTCAAAAAGATGTGCATTCAATAAATTTATTTTGACCAACAAGTTTTTTTTTGAAGGATGAAAAAACCTGTTCTTTTTGAAAATTGGAACTACGAGACTGCTGTATCAATGCAGAGAGCTAAATTTTCCGACATCTTTTTTGACTTATATGGTATTTTTTATAGTTTTTTTCCAAACTGTCAAAACGTTCAGAAAAAAGTTTTGAAAATTGGAAATTTTGGTTTGAAAAATCCACAAGTTGACCATAACGTAAGCCCAATACATCATTTTTTTTTTCGTTAAATGGCTTTAAAATAGGCTAATGGCATTTGTCTGACACGCAGCAAAATTAGAAAAACCGAAAATCGGAACAAAAAGGCTTCTCGTTTATCAGCGCAAAAACCTGAATCGCTGGACCACTCTTCATGTGGTCTCAAAATGGTGGGTATGTTCTGAATTAATGCTTTTCCTGTTGCTGGTCTTTGAATTCTGAAATTATTTGCAAGTCTCATGTAATAAAATTTTTCTCGAAAATCAACCAAAAAAATGAGCGCAAATTTTGAGTATTTTCTCAATTTGTCTCGCAAACTTGAAAACAATTCCGTTTTTTCTATGCAAAGTAACTTTTTATAGGTTGTAGAAACAAGTTTTTTGGTTAAAGTGATAGGTTTTAGAAAGGTTGATAAACGTGAACAAAGTCCTTTATGAAGTAGTGGACGGCTTAGTATAATATCAAAATTGTTATATTAAGCAACGTAAGTAGTATTGTATCGTGTCCCGGATCCTAAGGGGGGGGGGTCCTTCCTAAGGGGGGGGTCCTCACGTAAAGCAAAATCCTAGGAAAGGGGTCCTTATTTTTTTGGAGGACCCTCATCCTAGGATTTTGTAAACGAAAGAGATTTTCCACCCAAAAAGCAGAAGACCCCCTACTTAGGATCTTGCTAAGTTTAGCTTAACAACAAGGGACACGATACAAAAATCTTTCTAATTCCAAATTTTGGGGTCCTAATTATTGGTCCTGATTAATTATATGAATCATATTAATTGTTATGTTTGTTTAGGGTAAATGAACTTTCGACCTAGTTGAAATTTGTTAGTGAACGGGGAATTGACTTTTATGGTATATAATAAAAATTCGCCGGCCATTTTGGCAGCTTAGCTTAACTGTTGGCAGCAGTAAACTAATTCCTTAACTTGACCTAAATTTTATGGTGAAAAGGCAGTAAATTGAAATTACTCTCAAAAGGCGGCGGCCGTTTCTGGGCAAAATATACCAAATGATAAAATTGTCAAATTTTGAAATAAGAAAAATGAAATTAGAGGGAACTTGGTGTACTGAAGATATTGATAATGAACATTTACAATTAAGAGTGTTTTCAACCGCAGAAAAAAACTCATTTTTCAAATTATGTAATGAACGCTACGTCGTCTTCCTCGAAAGGGCAAAGGAAATTTCAAAGAAAGAATACGAGTTGATTTTCAAAGAACAATTTTATTTGAGTGAGCTTCAACAAATCTCTTGGTGCATTTCTACAAAACAAAAGTATGGCACTGTGAGCGATTTGAATATTGCTGATTATGAAAACGTTTTCGACTATTCGTTTGACTTTAACTCATTATGGGTTGATAAAGACTTGGAGAGAAAAATCCGTCTATGCTTCAACAAGCTATCAAAATACAAAAAACTTCCGGTGGTTTATTTAATTATTTACCACCGTTATCTTAATGAGTCTAAATGGTATTTGCAAGGTCACTTTTATTTCCACTGGCTTGAAATTCAGCAGGTTGGAGAGGTGTTGGAAAAAATAAATAATGAAATTGCAAAAAAGCAGAGTAACTCCTATTGATTTGAAAATAATTCACGAAATTTATACGTCTTTGAAAACAAACTTATCCTGATAATTCTAACCGACGCAACTATTTTCTAGCTGCATGTTCTCTGTTTTTTGTTAGTTCTGATAACCTTAACTACGACATTTTAATTAAGTTGAGACATTATGGTGGCTTGATTGGTATTGATAACTCTTCCTTGGACAAATATTTGAAAAATTCCAAAATTTTACGATTGCACGCTATTTTGCACGATGCGGCCGGATTTATACACGAATTTTATCAACAGGGTCCCACGTACTGTTACATGTTGCCCTGGAACTGTAACAACAGCTTATTGGGACATTTGAGTGGAATAGCGTTCTGCCTTTTCATTAAGTTGAAAAAACCAGAAGTTTATCATTTACTAGAATGCTAGGCGAGAGATCAGTTGTGCTTGACGTGGAAGGCTTTCGTTACAAGAAAAACGCCTTTGTGGTTAAAGAATTAGCAATAACAACTTCAGACTACAGCGATCGACTCATTTTCCTACCTCCAGTGAATTTCAATATACTACCAAAGCTT